ACTCTTTCTTAATATCCCTGTCTCCAAATAATTCAACGGCCACAAATAGGCCAAATAACCTGTGGGGAAATACTGGTATACTTCAAGCTAGGTCCAAACTATGCTAGCTAATTTTAAAAATGCATCTGTTTGTATCCCTTTTTTGGCCTTCCTTAACACTGTAATCCAGTCAGCAAATACAACATGATGTATAGAGGTCTCCCTATCGACATTTGGTAAGGAGTGCCTTGGTGCTTTAACACAGCCAAGCTCACAGTTGAGTTGTGCTCATTTACATATTTTTCTGTTTTGTGTTTTCAGACAACTGAATGGGAATTAAACTGATTTGATCTTGGCTCATAAACCTGTTAACCATGTGAGCCTCTCATATGCTACTGCTGCTGAAGTGTGATGTTGATCAGTCAATGAATTTTATGATCATGAAGTCATCTGACAGAGTAGACACAGACACAGTTAAATGGTAACCCGGTTAAATGTCAACACAGTGCTTGCAATTGGGCAAGCTGACATTTAAAACGAATGCTTATGAAAAGGTTTAGATGGCCTTATATTTCCTGATTTTAAAGATTTCATCGATGACACCACTAAAGTAAAACTAGAGGGATCATCCCACCATTGCTTTCACTTACACATTTTTTCTTTTCATTCTTATTGTCTACAGTTCTTATTTCAGGAGATTCTATGACAAATAAATGATGTGTGCGCGCACACACACACACACACACACACACGCACACACACACACACAAGTATGAGTCCAGCAGTGCATGAACATATCCACATGAGTATGAATAAGGCATTTGTTGTCATGTTTATGATATGAGTTAAAATGAATAATAGGTACATTATGTATTTCTCTGTATATGCTGCAGTTGCTGGAAGGATATTTCTTTCTCTTGTGCTGTGCTCACACCTTCCTCAAAATGTAAATGACCCAGATTCCTCCAGCACTTTTTCCCCACAGTCCCCAAACTAGTAAGTCAAAGTAAAAAAGAAAAAGAAAAAGATGTTGTTCTTTTTTTGTGTGTACGTGTTATCAGAGCCTGTGGGCCTCTGTTTGCCTCCTCCAAAGCCACAACCATTATCACAAACAGCCTTGCCTCAACAAAGTCTCCAGCTCCCACTCACTTTCCTGCAGCTATATGGCCCCTGAGGCTGGCTGCAAACAGCTACAGGGCCCCTACCGAGGGCCCCATTGTCTCCACCAGCATACTTTCAGCTGAAAACCCGGGGCGTTCTCTAAACTCATTGGGAGTGAGCTAACAGCCTCTCTTCCAAAGCGGCTAAACGCATGTTCGTTAATTATCTGGATCCTTGTTAATTGGATTAATTGTTGAATGGAAACCGTGTTATTAAAAATGACGAAAACACAAGGGCAGCAGGAGCAAAGGGGGGGGGGGGGATTAATATCGTTTCTGTTTACTCTCAGGCTGTCAAAGGACACAAGCGTGCACAGGCTCATACACACATTTAGGTATGCTCTGCCTGTCTATCGCTGTCTTTCTATTCTAACTTTGTGTTGCTATTTGCACACATATCAACACACGCACACAGAAGCCGTATGCGACCCAGCTCAGAAGAATGAGCGCTAGGCAAGGTGCAAATTACCATGCACACTGTTAGAGATAAGAACTAAACCCATTTTCAAAGCTCTGAATAAATGCCAGATTCTTTTTGATGCAAGAAGACTGTGACTTTTCCATTGCTTATATTTTTTTTGGGAAAGAGAGAAACATAAAGTCAACACATGTATAGTTTAACTATCTGCAGCTCACATGAAAAATGGGTTTCTTATTCCCTCTGCCTATCTGCTTATTCTTATCCACCAAAATCACTTATCAGTGTTTGACTTCAAGGGATGTTTTATCGTTCTGGCTTTAAGATGAGTGCGCTGATACTGCAGACTGTTTAGACGACTGGACTAATATTTCATGTCCTGTGTAATTGGTGGTGGTGCAAATAACAAGCCATTATGGAAAAACCTCACTATGTGTGTTTTCCTGTGGTCACTGGATGAAATTATGACAAATGGTAAGTTCCAAACACTCCAGAAGACAAAGGATATACTGGCATGGTATTGTGAAATTCAACCAAGGAACATCATTTTGCAATCCACAGCTGCAATAGTTCAAATTAAAATAAAAGTTGAAGAAATTATTTTTGCTCAGTTTTTACCAAATGACCATTTCCTAAATATTTTAAAAAGCAGATTGATTCCAACATTGATGAGGATAATAAGTAATAAACTACATCCTGCAGCCTTGACACCGGTGTTTATGCCACCTTTTCCAGTAATCTAGTGCCAATAAATAATTTAATGAGGTTCATCAATTGTGCAGAAGCCTGTCTAAAATCTTTCAAAATTAACAACTTCATTTTTTAAGAGATTTGTCTCATCTGAACCAGGCTTGTTTTGTTCTGAGGCTCAACTGAGGCTTAACAGTAATGACAGCAATAATATGTTGTAGCTATATGTTGACACTGACTAAAGAGGCTCAGAAACAGGATCCAGTAAATGTGTTGCACTGGTTGTTAAGGCAACTGTTTCTGCCTTCCTGCTTTGATGTGGAGGCTCCTGTTGCCTGCTGCACTCAAAAATACAGTTATCTGCATCTGGGGGACTGATTGCATTTCTGTGTGTGTGTGTGTGTGTGTGTGTGTCTAAGCAGGTATACATTTTTTATATGTGTTCTAAATATGAGGCATATATCTCTTGAGATAATGATACTGTGACACAAATTCAGTCTTATTACATTTGTCCAAAGAAATCACCAGATGTAGTTATTTCCATTTGATCAATTTGTTGTACATGCTGTGCTAATTCAAAAAAGCTGGACTTAGTTTTCTAGCATCCATACCAGCACAGTGGCGATAAACTGAAGTCCAAAGGTCCTAGTGCAGCTGTTTCAGCATTCATACACCTGCTGTGGGGACTACTTTTACAAAGACATGAGCAGGTGAGCAGTAAGTAGACAAATTGAATGAGGACCAAGGTCCGGGCTCAGATTTAGCCAGGCCTCCTTAGCTAACAGCTGCTAAAATCAAAACTGACCAGTTGTGATTTATTTTCACACTAAACAGGATGTGAGAAACCAGAGGTAACTGGTTTATGTGTGTTCCATTGATCAGGAATGTTAATCTTCTGAGGATATGTATAAAGGTTCTTCCAAGGACAGGACAATAAAAAGGCTTTATTGATCACTGGAGCATTGATCAATCAGTCCCAAGACAGATAACAAGATGCATAGGTCCTGAGTAACAATAGGTCTTGTAAGATATGGACTACACAGGTTGATATTTTTATTTATTTATTTATTTTATTTCAGCACCCTGCACATGAAATCCATTACCATTCTGATTCATAGGCTAGTCTTAACATGCTACTTCTGCCACACACTAACCCTGTTAATGAAGAAGGAGGTGGAAGACAAATTCAACCCATGTATGCCTTTGCAAATCCCATCAGTAGGCCATACTACATTATCATTACTCAATCAACAGTATTACACCAGACCTAAGGGATGAATTGGGCTGCTGTGCTTTCAAGTAGTCACTGGAATGATATTTTTTCATACCAGATCAGCGTCTTAAGAGGGTTACTACTGATGATCTTGGGCCACAAATGAGTTCTTTATTCTTTTGTTATGACATTGATACGATCTTTGCGACTGAGGACAAACACCTTCATGCCTGAAAGGGCTCCATATTCCCAACACTTTCAATTTAGGGCAGTTATATGATTGGCAAAATGTAAGTAACGCAAAAATGAGGCCTGAACTCACTGACAAATGAGGAACTACCTTGCTGTGTAAAACAATAAAATAATCCTCAACTCACTCACACTATTATCACAGTTGTTAAAGTTATGAGACCCCTAACAATAGTGCCATAATATGACAGGACAAAAAGATTAAGTTTGTAAATCTTAACTTATACGATGATGCTATTATTGAGTAAAGAAGAACGGAGTAGTGGCGTTAGTGTTCACAACACATTAGTGGGTATTTTGTGCATTCCTCGGCACTGCGTACCATTGGTCCGAATTTCTGTTAATCATTCCACCAACAACTCCGCCCCGCCCTCTTTGCGGGGATCTGAGCGTTCATTGGCCCTCATATTATTCTCCGAAAGCCCCGCTGGTCAATAGGCGGTGAGGAGGACGAACCCTTTCCGGTGGAATAGTCTCTCGCGCCTACAGTGGTGGAATCGAACGTCCCTGAACGCACACGGTGTAGAGGAGCGTACCGCGCACGAGTCTCTTGAAGAAAGATAACGGTTTCTTTTTTGCCCCCTCTCCAATCAAACAACAAGAATAAACGAAACCTGAATTTTTAGGGGGGTTAACAGAGTCTTCTGCTCGTAAGGAGGAGGAAAGCGAGGGATTTGAGCCTCAAGTTTTTTTTTTCTTTTTTTCGTTTTTTTCTCTCCTTTTTCTAAAAGAGGATTGTGTGTTTCGCGGTGGTTTGTTATTCTCTCTCGCCGCAAAGATGATGGTCGGAGAGGTCGAAGTGAAGGAGCGACCGAGGCCGAGTCCCGACTATTTGATGCAATTATTAAACGAGAAAAAGCTCATGACCAGTTTGCCAAATCTCTGCGGCATCTTCACACACCTGGAGAGGCTCCTCGATGAAGGTAAGTGGCAGTTGAGACGCCGTGGAGGTGGGGGGGAGCGTGACCACGGCGCAGTCCGGTGTCGGCACTGCTTCGCTCGCCGTCCCTGCTGCATAATGTTAGCGATACCAAGACGAACACTAAGTAACGGATACCGCGATATTGCTGGCCGAGGCAGACGTAGTAACAGTTACAACTTCTACTGAATATCCGAATACCTCATATAAAAAAACAAGAAGACCAGCAGTATTCTGTGTGAGTTTGTTTTACCCTAGACCACATCGAGATGAGAGCTTGAGAGTTGTGCTGCTGACGTTAGGCTGCCACGGAGTTTGTTACTGCACTCTTGACTTTGAAGACGAAAACTTTCTCTCACTCAGAAAAATCCGAACTAACTACCATTGGGAATCCATCTACAAATATTGTTAGCATAAGATTAAGAGCACTCTTTAGGTTAATCAAATGCGCATTCTAAATAATTTAGATGGAGCCTGATTCCACACGTTCCACTGCAATTTAGCTTTAGTTAGCCACATGTTAAGCTAGCGAGTTGTGGGTCTGCGTTCCGTTCAACTCTTCAGGAACCAAAACGGTAGCATTAACTTAGCTACACCTTTTAAAGATGGGCTGAACATACATCGGAGATTATGAGACAAATGACGGCAAGTTTTACAAAGACTGACTTTCGCTCTCCTTGTTTTAAGTTCGAGGATTGTGTTAGTTGCCCAGCGGCCGAGCGTAACGGCACGGAGGAATGTGTCTGCTTGTTGCCCAAACAATGGCCAGTGAGTTGCTGCTGGGAGGGGGAGTGCTCGAAGATTATCTCAGTCGCCTAACTTTTTCATTAAAACGGGTACTGTTTGGTTTGTTGTCGTTCATTTAGCTACCCTGGTATTTGTCTTAAAGCGAGAATATGCTTCTCTCAATTATACTTCCTTCCCTTACTGCAGCAATCGTCGTGTGTTTTGCCAGTCAATCATGCCCCACCAAAACTGCGTCGCCTTTTGTCGGTGGCGCCGTCCAGACGGGACTGTATCTGTCTGCGTTTATTTTTCTACGCTGTGTCACCAGCAGCAGCGCAGATGAACGCATTTTCTTTGCCGTTTGTGTTAATATCCATAACATAAGCTGGTCTAAGCGGAAGATTGGACCTGTGATTTATATAACTGAGCCGGGGGACACTAGAGAGCGCCACGGCCCCCTAGCAGACTGTCCCCAAGCTGTGCGTAGTGTCGGACTGGGCACCGCGACGCCGTGATTGATCAAAAATAATAGGCCTTCTGTCTACTTCACGGGATAAATGAGCATTTCCATCGTAGACAACATAGGGTGTACAGGACAGTTCACAGTTTCGGTTACATGTCTCGATGAGTAGGTTCTGTAGTATGTAGTTGTTCAACCGGTTTGCAAAGATTTTCTTGTTGCAATAAACAAGACACCGTAGAAAAAGTGTACTACTTCCTCCCTATCCCAGTATGAGTGCAAAACTAAATGTTTGTAACACTAAATAAAATACCTCTGCCTGGATTAGGATTTAAATGAATGCTATTTTTGTGCAGTTAATGGCAAGGTCTTTTTCTTCTGCCTATCCGACACTATGGCTGTCTGTACCAATATTTTAGCGTTTTTCATCAGTATAAATTGACACTTCAGTTTCAGGTTAACAGCTTACAGAAAATTAAGTAGCTAAGCAAGAACTCACAGTTTTGAGAAACAAGTATGTCAGTTCTTCCAGGGTGTGATGAATTTTTTTTTTTTCATGCATCTTTGCAACTAGATTTTTCCATTAAAATCACCAAGTTTGGTTTAATTTCCTGGCCCCATACATAACTTAGAAAGGAGGCATTTATGGAGTATTTTTTTAGAGGTGCTTGCTATATTATTGTTTTTTTTTAAGGTTATATTGCGTATATTGGTGTTTTCATTAAGGGGAGAGTCAGGAAGCTGACTTTTCTTTTTTCTTTTTCATCCCTGCTCCTTTTTTTTTGTATCCCAGCCCCCCGGGTTTTAGATCCTTACAATCCTCAGAATAGTGAAGAAAGGGACCACGCACAGTCTGGGAACCTCTCATTTTCTTGAACAACTCAGCCGTGCTGCTGTTGGCACTGTATGAGCTAACCCACTAAAAGCAAGAAACTTGTTTTTTAGATTCCGTGTGCTCAACAGTGAGCTTTTTCATCAAATGTGCAATACAGTTACTTTTGACTTTGACTTTGTGAAGCAAACAAAAAGAAAATCTGTTTGCAACCTCCGGTGACCAAAAGTGCTACACTGATGTTTTTCTTTTGAAAAATGTTTTTTAAGGACTGTTAACCCAGTAAAATCACTGAACCTCTGATTTCTGTAATATTTAAAATTGCGTTACCTTTTTTCAGTGACCTCTGATGTTCAGGTTGACCGGAACATTTCATACATGGTTAATGGGCCGAGCTACAGTATATATTCGGGTTCACTCAGTGAATTTTTATAGTAGGCCTCTAATCTCCCTCGAGGAGTAAGGTTCTCACCTATGGTCATGAGCTTTGGGTCATGACCGAAAGGGCAAGATCCCAGATACAGGCGGCCAAAATGAGCTTTCTCCGCAGGGCGGCCGGACGCACCCTTAGAGATAGGGTGAGGAGCTCGGTCACCCGGGAGGAGCTCAGAGTAGAACTGCTGCTCCTCCACATCGAGAGGAGCCAGCTGAGGTGGCT